TGGACATTTCTTTTTTAATGTTTATTTATTTTTGAGAGAGAGCACAAGCAGGGGAGGGGCAGAGAGGCGCGGAGAGAGAGAGAGAAAGATGCAGAATCTAAAGCAGGCTCCAGGCACTGAGCTGTCAGCACAGAGCCCAACACGGTACTCGAACCCACGAACTGTGAGATCGTGACCTGAGCCGAAGTCACACATTTAACTGGCTGAGCCACCGAGGAGCCCCTGGACATTTTAAACCTTGTAGGAGACAGATGTATCACACTTCCCTCAGCTTCTCTACTTTTCCAACCACCCCCAAGTGACCTTAAACAAGCAGTCCCCAGGCCTAGGCCGCCACACCAGGGGAGAGACCCTCCCAAGCCCCACCGCTTCTCGCACCCTGCCCCTACGCGCCCTTGCAGGAAACTGAGGGCTCCGAAGCCCTTGTTCCTCAGGGAGCCGCAAAGCCAGAAGAAGGAGAGCCTGTATGTGGTGACAGGCCATGGAGAACACGCGGAACACCATTCTTCAGAGCCTCAGCAACGCAGAGGGAGCGGGACAGCTGGCCTTCCTTGGGCCGGGCCATGCAAAGGTGCAGGGTGTGCCTTGGGGCTGCTGACAGCCACCGAAGAGCTCCCCTTCCAGCCCAACTCCTGCCAAACGGCTGCCCCACTAAGACTCGCCCCCTCTAAACACGAATGGGCTTCCCAGGTGCTTGTGTTATGGTTCTCAACTCTGATGACAGGTTAGAGTCACCTAGAAAGCTATTTTGGTTTTTATTTGAAAATGCCAGTGCCCAACACTGCCCCTGCCAAGTCTGTTTTTTCGGTTATTTACTTATTTTGAGAAAGAAAGCACGTGTTGGGGGGGAGGGGCAGAGAGCGAGGGAGAGAGGATCCCAAGCAGGCTCTGAGCTATCCACACAGTGCCCAACGGAGGGCTCCACGCGGGGCTCGATCCCACGAACCGTAAGATAATGACCTGAGCCGAAATCAAGAGTCTGATGCTCGACTGCTGAGCCACCCAGGTGCCCCCCTCCCAATTCTAGTTTAACTGGACTGGAAGAGGATCCACTCGCTCGGATTTTTAGAACTCCCTCAGGTGATTCTATGTGCTGCCGGCATTGCTACCACAGTCTAGGGGGTTTACATCAGCTCTGGAACCAGGGGTACCTAGGTATGAATCCCAGCCCTGCCCCTGGCTAGCCGTGTGGCCTTGACCCAGTCACCTGACCCTCCGAGTTTGCTGGCTCCAGCCCAAGAGGCTGGGCTGCAGAACCAGGGGAAGATTAAATTAGGCAACAGTGTGAGGAAGGTGCCTGAGCCACTCTAAGGCCCAGATCTGCTCCTCACCAACGCAGTCCTTAGCTCATTTAGTACCTGTGGGCCTCAGGTCCCCACCGTGACACAGGAAGCGTGGGTCCCACGCTAGCATCCTGGGGCTCTGGGACTCTCATCTCCCACAAATGAAGCGAGACTCAGCATCACAGTCGGCCTCACCTCTCATGGGCCACAGGAACGCAGGTGAGCAGGGGTCACAGATCGGTCCACCTCCAGCTGCTGTTGCTAAATACTTTTTAGAAGCTAGAACACAGTACAAAATGTTCTCTATAAATTTTTCTCATCCACTCCTCCTGATGATTCCATAACGTAAGTACCATAGGTCAGGGTTTTGGGGTACAGAACCCGTAGCTCCAAGAGGTTAAACTGCTTGCTCAGGAGCACACAGCCAGCAAGTGCTGGGGCTAAAATCCAGACCTGGGCCTACCTGGTTCCAACATCCACGTGCTTAAAAGCTAGTTACACTGCAGCACCGCCTCTGAACACAGCAGATGGCTGGCCTTCTAATCAAGGGTTGAGATGTTAAAACACGCAGCCTTGCTCCACTTGGCAGTTGTGGGAAAGACAGGGGACAATGTAAGGGGAGGTGGGAGCAGCTGGGGAGCAGGCAACCACCTTGGGATTAAATATTTGCGGTTGATCTCTCACTACAGGTGACTCCAGGTGTGCTGTGGGACTAGGGTCAGTGTAGCATTTCCAACCTTCCCAGTTTGCCTGAGACTAGGACTTCCCTGGGACCTAGGACTTTCCGTGGGAAATCAGGACAGTTAGTCACCCTAGTGGTAAGTGATGGGGATCCTGAAATGACAGTGGCTCTCAACCAGAAAAGGAGTCCTCTCTTAGGTCAAAGTCCAGATAGGAGCCTAAGGGCTGCAGTGGCAGACAGTGGTGATCAGAGACCTGGCTCTGTTTTGTCCCTCTGCCACCTCGGTGTATGGCTGTCACCTCCTGGTCCAAGATGGCTGCTCCAGCTCCACGTATCACGTCCACGTTGCAGCCAGGAGGGAGAACAGGACCGGTACACACCGCCTCCATTTACATCCCACTGGCCAGAACCTGGCCACACAGCCTCGTCTAGCTGTGGGGGAGCTGGATTCACAGTCCTTATTCAGGCCAGCTACATGCCAGGGGACAGGAGGCATTCTCTTACTGTTGTTTTCAATCTGCACTTTCCCTGTAGGAGGAGGGCGGGAATGTGACACCAGGGGCACGACGTCAGGAGTCCCAGCTTGCGGGGGCCTCCACCTCCCAGGGCTCTCCCGAGCCACATCACTCTCCACCTGCCAGGGACAGGGGAGGTCTCAGAGCATTTGGAGGTGATCCAACCGCAGGGCCTCAGGACTCCAGCTCAGCAGTTCCCAAAGCCAGCACTCCAAACTCTGGACAGTGCTTAACGACACCAAGTGAAACCCATTTCTTTACTGGGGGAAGTTTTTATCATGCCAATGCGTGTTGCTTTGACCCCAGAATGCCTTGGGTTTTTTTCTGGAAATATCTTGTGTGCAACATACTTTGCTGTCCTGACTGGGCTTCAGGGTCCCCCATCCCGTGCTGTGGGATTTTCCTCTCCCCTCCAACCTCTGAAGCCCCTATGCTGATGATCAAGAGAGACCACGGCAGTCCCTCCTCCCTATCCCCTGTTCCTGCTGCCCCTAACCACCTTCCTGCAGGTTCTCAAATCCCGCGGGGACCTGAGGTCCTATTCTCCCTGCCCCCCTCCTAGATCCAGAGTCAGAGCCACATGGTCAAAGAGAAGACAGAGACCATCCCCCAGGGCACCATCTCGGCCTACAGGGTGCTTCAGCTAGTAATCAAAGAGAACTGCTGGGGTAAGTGGAGGCTGGAGGTCAGGAGCAGAGACACGAGTCTCCCTCTGGGAGAGCAGGCAGAGGGGCAGGAGGAGGGAGAGGGAGACCATTTCCCAGGAGCCTGAGCACTCAGCCAGCCAGGTCCACATTCTGGCAGCTGCTGCAAGGATGCGACGTGCAGAGAGAGGCAGCCCTGAGCTCAGCTGTCAAGGAGGGCTTACTACCCAGTCCGTGTCCCACTTGGCCCCGGGGTTTGGGGACAAGGGGGGAGCTGCACTTGATGGGAGGAAGGTTGGTGTCATCTAATTAGCACAAAGAATCTTGCAGACTGGTGGTCCTGCCCATCCCTGGCCCAGGAGTGACTGGTGGGAGGAGGGAGTTTTGCTCTCCCATCAGTGCTGCAGCCCAGAGAGGGACTGGGGACTGAGCCCAGGGCAGGACAGCTCGGGTGCTCAGATCTGGCCTGCTGAATCTGAGGGTTGACTTTAGCTGGGGGAGGAAGATTTGGCCACCCGCACCCTCTTGAAAAAAGCATGAGCTTAAGAGTCCAGTGCACTGAGGTTTGAATGATGGCTTTGCTGTCTGCCATCTGCATGGCCCTGGAGACGTTACGAAACATCTCCAGCTTCAGCATCCTCGTCTATAAAGGGGCTCAGGCTGCTACCTACAGAGTACTGTGAGGCCACAGGAGGAAAGCTGTGAGGTCCCTGGCTCTATGGCCAGTACACCGTAGGACCCCATAACTGCTGTCTGTCTTCCTCTCGGGCACTTTCTCTTTTGCCCTACCTGTGCTCCCACACAGCTATTCTGTACCTGCCTGAAGGAAAGCTCTGTCAGAGCTTTCCTGTCTGTGGAGGTGAGTAGCCCTGCCCAGGGCCTGGAACCCAAGCAGAAGTCATCCCTTCCCACAGACAATGTCCTGACACCGTTCTTGGGAGTCCCTTCCCCACCACCATGTAGTCACCCCATGTCACTCGGGGCAGGGAAGGCCATCTTCTAGGGCCCATGAAGCATGGGCCCTGAGCAGGGGTGAGTGGGAGGGGAGTGAGGGGAAGAAGAGTGAGGTAGGGGAAATAGGGAAATAAGGACAGGACCCATGACTGCCACCCCATATGTGGTGGGTACTCAGTAAATGCTGGAGGGGAGGGGAGAGGGGAGGAGAGGAAGAAATGAGAAGGAGGCAGATGAAAGAATGCTGTGCTCTGCATCAGGCGGAAGCTTCATCAGGACAGGACTGTGACACCAGGACCTCCTGGTTAGGCTGAAGGATCTAGTCTGGCTGGCCCTGGGCAGGGAGCCTGGGCACAGAAACCAGTGGGGGCCTATAGTCTCTCTCCACAGGCCCTGGGTGAGGAGCCCAATTTCCAGGGCCCGCGAAGGCAGGTGGGTGCCCAGCTGCAGGACCCGGCCACGCTGCCTCCAGAGCTGCGGCACCTGCTGTGAGGTGCCCTCCAAGAGCTGCTCACAGCCCCCCAGGCCCTGCAGGAGCTCAAGGACATGGTAAGGGACCCATAGGCCAGACCAGGGCCTGGGGACTGGGGTCCAGGAAAGAACCAGGGAGGCACAGGGGAACGAGAGGCAGGAGTGAGACACGTTCTGGGTCTCAGCAGCACCTAACTATGGATGGCATGGTGAGGCTGGCCCTGGGGTGACCAGGCACAGCCCTGTGCCCGCTATTGTGTCAGACACTCCCTGAACATTTGCTCACTAAAACCCAAAAGAGGGACCTGGTTCAGCACTGCTGGCATCAGAACCCAGGCTCATTCCATCCTCACTGGCGTCAGAGGGGACACAGTGCCAGTAGATGGGGAACAGGAGCCTGGGTGGTGGGGTGCGGGGTCAGGGAGCAGAGAGGGAGACCTGCAGCCTGTCTCTCCCTGCTCCCCCTTGCCCCTGCCCTACAGCTGGAACAGGCCCTGGACACTGGGGTGCTGGGACAGCTCGGTGGCCCTGGGGGCTTCATCCTAAGTACTCTCTGGAACCCCTCAGGCAGACTGTTGGCCTTGAAAGGCAGGGCCATCCTCTGCATTCTTGGAGCTCTCCTGGGTAAGAGGGATATACAAGGGGCTGGGGTGGGAGAAGAGTCCAGAGGGAAGGCTTCCCAAGGCCCCTGCCCAGCAGCCCTTGTGTTCCCTGTCCACACTCTCCAAGCGGGCCTTCTGCTGTTCACCCTTGCTCTAGACGGTCCCAGGCCATGCCCACTTGCGTCTGATTCTGTGTCCAAGCCCTGCCAAAAGTCAGCATGGAAAAGCACAGCCCCCATTTCCTGATTTTGCTTGTGC